TACGCAACAAACATCTATAAGTTTGCCTTTTTTGCTGTTGAGGACTTTTTAACGTTACCTCAGAGAAGATCTCCTCAAAGAACGGTACATTGTTGCAATTCAGTAGAAATAATACTGTCTTTGTATTATAATTTTCCAGTGACATTTTTAGGGAATAAATGAGGAATGGATTGGAGATAAAACTCGTTTCATTGTTGATGGCTTGAAACGGCAGCGCATAATGATGCCAATGTTGAAAGATAATAAAGGAGTTTTACAGTGAGGCACTATTATCATTGATATTTGGCGTTTGTTTTTAAGGCCAGTAGCTTTATGTAATATTTAGGCCCTGCTCTTGGGAAGTAGCACTGTTTGCTGTTGCTTCGAAACTGAAGGAAACTGATGGTAATCAGATTGGTGCTGTAGCTGGTTCACTGTGCGATATTGGTTCGTTTTTTTATTCGCTTGGATAAGACTTTCATTGTTGTACTTTTTTTGTTCAAAAGCACCCTGCTTTTATTTTTTGTGTAACTTATTTTCTATTACGACATCACTTTTATAGAAGGATTAGTTGCTTTGAAAGATCTCTTGAACCGATTTGATTCTGAAAACGTTTGCACAGAAGAATCATTCTCGAAGACCAATGGAGGGTCCGATTTGCGGTAAGATTAAGATATTTTGTAGTTCTAAACGATTTATTGTAGCAACAACTCTTGTTACGTGGAATTGTGTGGTTGTTGCAAATCACAGTTTGCCAACAAAAACGATAACTCAAAAGCATATATTTTTTGAAGGACGATACAGGAGGTGGAAGGTTTTTGTGGGCTTTAGAGGACTTAATTTGGAAGTTATCAGAGCTTATTAGTGAAAGCGATAGATTTTCAAATTGAAAAGGGAAAAACCATGTCAGGCATTTGCTTTTTTGGCGTATTAACCAATGCAAGGCTTTTAAGTCGTAACGTGAGAAAAGTTAGAAGACGACAACTGTTTTTAAATAAGGAGAATATTGAAAAGTTGAAAAAAAAGGCGAGAACACTGCTGCAGCGTATTATTTCTTTTTATCTTCTAAAGCATCAGATGTAGTCTCATTCCAGTTCAAACTACACTTTGTCAGACGGTTTCATCTCTGTAGAGGATGCTGATGCGTTACTCCTAATCGGCACAAACCCGCGTTATGAGGCTCCTGTCTTTAATGCCCGTATTCGTAAAACGTGATTTTTGAAATTTTATATTTGAATCTGAAAGCTGTTTGATTTTTTTATTTCACTATTAGTTTTCCTATTTAACTGCCTATTTCCATCAGTTTCCTTCACCTTTTAGCATGGAGTTTTAGTTTTCTTCACAAGGATATCGAAATAGCGGTGATTGGTAGCAAGGTAGATCTAACTTATGATTATGAATACTTTGGCGAATCAGCTAAGGCACTAGACGACATATTGAACGGTAGTTCTGAGTTTGCTAAAGTAAGTCTATTCTACTGCTTTTTAAAAACGTAGTGTTGGAACTTTGGATATCTCTAGGAGCACCAAGAGTTTGAAATTAATTATTTTGCCGCTAGCTCTCTATTTTAGTTTGATGGATCTTGTGAGAAAATTTTAACTTCTTCAAGGTGTAACTTGCATTTTTTATGTTCACACTTGTTTTTAGCGTTTCCGTTCATCAAAGCATCCGATGATAGTTGTTGGTGCTGCCGTCTTAGATGGCAAAAACGGTGGTGCTGTTTTGGCCAAACTGCATCAGATTGTTGCTAAACTTCGAAATGCTGATAGTAAGTGGTTAAGACTAGTTTGATACTGGTGAATCTGCTTTTTGCTCGCCTTTTGCGTATCAGTTCTTAGCTGCTTTCTTTAATTTTGTTTCAGATCATCTCGTTAATTTTTTCTTGATAATAGCCGCGAAAGATTGATTTTATTACGTCGTTTTGATTTTTTAGAAAATCTGAAGATTTTGAATGTACTGCAGAGACGTGCATCACAGGTGGGGGCTTTAGATGTCGGGTACAAGGTATGATAAGTTTCTTATTTTTTTTTAATATTGCATTTCCAAAAAGCTTTATTTATGACTTCTAAATCACCTCCCGAAATATGTGTTATTTTGGGTAAATTTTTTAATTTTTAGGGTGGTGTTGACTGTTTGCGTGACGGAAAGAAAATAAAGTTTTTGTATAACTTTGGGGCGGACGAGGGGATTATCAAAAGGAAAGATTTATCAGATAATGCTTTTATTGTGTACCAAGGTGAGTTTAGTTTTTTTAATGCAGTTTATCTGTTAGAAAGGGATTTTTGCGTAGTATATTTATGCTATCGACTAGACACTTAGATTTTTCCGTAACTTTTTCTTCTGTTTTGTTGGCTTGCTGTAGAAATGACACTGACGAACTTTTTTGCTAGTACTTTGTACTTAGGCCATCACGGGGATGTTGGCGCAGCAGAGGCTGACGTTGTATTACCGGGGTGTGCTTACACCGAAAAAGAAGCCATCTACGTCAATACGGAAGGCAGACCACAGAAGGTTCTTAAGTATATCGCGTTTTAGACTACATACCAGTATAGATATCGAAAATAATGATATACTGAATAGTGTTTTTTTGTCTGCAACACGATATATATCTTTTATATTTTCGTGTTTTTCTACATAGTTTTTTCTCATCTTTGAACTCATTCACGATTGTTAATTTCTTCATACATTTTGTTGTTTGATTATGAAAGCATGAGAGTATAAGTATTTTGGTCATATTTCCATTGTGAAATCAAATTCTAATAGTTGCCTGTTTGAATTTGACGTAGGCAGAAGGGTTCACAGTGCATCACTTTGGTATTTTTTATTTTATAGTTGCTTAAAATATTGCCTTACGAGTTTTATAAGTTGCTTGAACTTTGCCATTTGCACGAAATTTGCTTTAAAATAACATAACTTATTAAACTTACAGGCTTATCCTGCTGTGCCACCTCCGGGTGATGCAAGAATTGATTGGAAAATATTTCGCGCAGTTAGTGAAGTCGCTGGTAAAAAACTTCCATATGACGACTTAAAAAGCTTGCGTCTTAGGATTGAAGAAGTTAGTTGAAAAGTTAAAATTAAAAGCCTTGTTAAATTTTTAAGGCGTAGGTCACAAGTTTTAGTTGCTGTTAATTTTTTGCTTATTGAACCTTTAGGTTGCTCCGCACTTGCTAAGATATAACAGTATTCAACGCTCTTCCTTTGGGACACAGGCGTCTGCTCTTTCAGAGGTTAGTTATTGCATTCAGATTTTCTAAAGTTTCATATCAGTTTGCAACAATAGTAATTTGCGAGACCAAACAAAGTAGGAGACACCAAACCATTCTTTTGTCACTCTAGCAAGAATGTTTCTTTGAATTTCGTCACTTTTTTGTGGTGTCAGGCGCACAGGTTGAAGTGGTAAATTTTAAATATTTTACTTTAGTGACTAAGAAGCTGCATGTCCGCTAATAGCGATGTTGTGTTATTTGCTTTTTTTTTCCACGCTTTGGAGTTTTCTGGTCAGAAGAAAAAGCAGATGGGTGCTGCTATCGTAAGGGTTGGTCTTAAGGGATTTGGAGTGTACGGTGAATAAAATACGGTATTCAACAGCAAAAAATGCTAGAAAGTAATCTTTATTAGTTATGTAGTTATAAGAACGGGAAAGGTTCATAATATGTGTTTCGGATGGACGCTGGTAAACTCTTTTGATACGCATTTTGCTACTTTTTGTGCTCTGGACGCACAGCATATTCTGTGTGAAAGGGATCTGAAAATTTGGAGGTAGTCTTAAATGGCACGAAGTGTACAGTCAAAGCCATGCTTCTGAGACTTCGGAGTGGAAGGGTGAGCAAAATGAGCTTGAACTTGTCTTTATTTATTTAACCGTTAAATTCAAAAGGCTCTTTTTGAGGAAACAGATAAAATTTGAACTGAATGTTTAAGCATATAAAAGTGGACAGGAAAGGTTTCCGTGAGCTGCCGTAAGCATATATTAAATATTTTAATTTTTTTGAGGTGTTAGGAAGGAAGGAGTAAAAAAAACATTTATATCAACGGCTGACAACGCATACTTCTAAAATAAGTGACCATTATTTCTAACTACTGGTAAAAAAACAGGCGATTGGGTTGCAGTATTTAAGCGGCTAAAGGTCAGCTATAAGTTTAATTACCTGTCTTGTACAGGAACGAAGGAGCAAAGCAGTGAGTGGCTTCTGAGATTTATGGAACTGCGAAACAGTAGTTAATCACGTTTTGCGAAAAATATTAAACGAAGGCCGTCTTGTGTAAGTCGCGCAAACTTTGGAGGGGATTGTTCTGGAATTGAAATTACTGGTACAATTTTTAGAAATGTGAGTTTTTTCTGAATCTTCCTTGCGCAGTGTGAAAAGTGAAAGGACGCTAGTGGCTGAAAGTGGCTGCGTAAATTATCTTTGGCGTGTTGTCATTGAGTCTTTAAAAGGGGAATGAAAAGAAGCTTTTTACCTTTCCCGTCTCCATGAGGGCGCCGTCATTTTTAATCCACTCTATGAAAACTATTAAATAACATAAATTGTATGCAATGGTTGGAGTAGTGAGACCTATTATCCTGAGAAATAACGTTTTGTTAAAAGTTAGAAGCACTAATTTTGCCTCCTTTTGGATTTTCCAACCTTTCAGGGCTTTAATGTGTGCAGACCGCATTCAAGAGCCCACTTTTCTTTAATTTTTTTTATTTTTAGGTTGGTAATGTTGATGTCCCAGTTAAGCCCTCTCAGCAAGAATTAGCAGACTATTATTTGACCAATTCAGTATCTCGCGCTTCTCCTACCATGGCGGAATGTGTTAAAGCAGCGAAAAAGCATAAGGAGAGTTTAATTGCTGATGCATCTTAAGGCTTAAACTTCACTGTGGTCGCGTCATTTATCGCGATGACACTTTTGTAATAGAGAATAATTATTTAGAGTAAATCTAGTGAAGTTTTTGGTTATTTTTGATCATTCTTCTGAGGAAGGCGTATGGTGACATTTTGACTTCTAGTCAAACTACTTTTTGATTCTCTCAACATTGTGACTTATGTTGAAAAGGCTGTCATGAGGATTCTGAGTGCGAAATACTTGCTGTGTCATAGGTATTATAGTGCTTGTTTCTCAACTGTAAATAATGAGTTTTAAAGAGTAAAATTGTTTTTTTCTGATTGTTTTCAACGAGACAATATTGCGATTACTGCTACCAGCCTTCATCTGTCAATCCGACATATTTTGTTACCGTTCCGTTATACAGTGGAAGATTGGCGCTAAAATTTTTCGCTTCTACCTCTTCATTGAGTGGGCACCGGACATGAGGGGCTAGTGTTTTTTTCAAAGATGACTGTAGGTAAACTCAAGAGAGAGGCGTGACGATATTTCTGGCTTGGAAGTCAAAAAAGGTGGTAGAGTTATATTTTGGTGTTGCTGGTTTATTTTATTGGAACTTATTTGATTTCTTTACGAGTCAAGTAAGAAGGGTCCCAGCAATAGCAAAGAAGTTACAACAACCAAACTACCTTAGATGGCTCACAAAAATCAGAACTTTTCTAACACGCAAAGATTTATGGAACAGTCGTCATAGGAAACAAATTTTTAGAATCATGAAGTCCGTCGTCATTATGATATTCTGCAGTCCTCTCCTTCTTTCAAAAAATCAGAGTTTAACTCTTTCTTACTTTTTCTTTTCACGAATGATTTTGTACCACTGAACCAACTAGCCGCCAAGGAACAAAATTCTGTGCGTCTCTTTATGCAATCATGGCCGTCTACAGTAGCCTATCCCATCGTAAGACTGTAACAGTATTTATAAAAAATAGTCGGTGAACTTAAATTTTTGAGCCAACTACGCTTACTCTAAAGTATACCTCCTCATCATCTGGCCTTGAACCGTCACCAGCAGTCAGTGTTAATTTTGTTGGGCCATCAGCATAAGTATTTCCGATACCACATGTTTGCATGAGCTCCTGTAAGCAAGTAGGGATTTATCCTCATCTTTAAGTTAAATGCCTTTGATAGTAAAAGAAAAATGACTTGTTTGTACAGAGAGAAAATTTATCTATCTAACCTTCATTCGTTTTTTGAACAGCAACCGCCTTTCTTCGATCAATTCTTGTTTTTTCTCTGTTTCTGAGAGGAACTCTTTCTAGAATTTTTAGGGATTTTAGTATATTGTAAATTAGGTTATGATAACGCGAAAATTTTTTAAAATTAGTTGTTTTTCCATTCTAAGAGGAGAACTTCTGTTAAATTACAATTCCCTATTTTAAGTTTGCGGTGAATAAAGTTAAGAAAATAAGCATAGTAGTGAAGGTAGTCGTGAAGCAAATCTTCCATTTAACAAACTCAAGATATGAGGAACCAAATGGTGCTAATTCAAGTATAAACACCCTGTAGTTTTTTTGCCCAATTAGTGGCTCGTTTTCGTCTTTTAAACCTCTGTCAAAGTTTTAAGTGCATGTCATAATAAGTAAAAAAAGGATTTGTTAATCAACAGAATTATAATTTAAAAGCCACGTCAGCTTACTGGAATTTTCCGCACAATCACAAATGCTCTTCTTTCCTTTTCTGTACCAATTGGTCTTGAATACTTTAAAAGTGCCGTCAAACGTTCTTTAGGTTTTAATGAGAGTTCCAGCATTAGGATTACTTGAGCCCACTGAAAAATGTCGTTTTTGAAACAGTTATAGTAACTGTGTTAACATGTTAGTTTATGATCACTTAGGTTATTTTAACTGAATTCACTTATACTGTATTATAATTCTTTGAACCTGTCTCTTCCACTCTTTTTGCGTCCCTGATATCTTTTCATAGGTACGTGTCATCATTGCAATAAGTAAGTTGAACTGCATAATACTTATGAAAATTTCGAACATTATGAATAGAATCTGGAAGTGGTGTTGGTAATAGTGATTAAAAAACAGTACTATGTAAAAATCTATTAGAAAGGAAGCTCTTAAAGTATTTTTGAAATCTGGTCTTTTGTTTCACAACATTTCTTTGAAAAAGAAAAAGAATTAATTGAGCAAACTTTTCTATGTACCTTTCCTATAACCTGCATAAGATTTTCTGCACAACCGTTTAGTTCCCTATACAGTACTGTAAATTCCCCAATAGTCATGATAAACAGGCGAATAGTAGCTTCAAGAGGACTATCCATTATGTTAGGTATTTCGGCTATAGGTATCCCCTCTTTAAGTGATTTCGCCCTTGTACAAGATCCGAATATCAGGTAGAATGCTGAAAACAAATTTCTTGTGTGTTGATCCACAATTGTTGGAGATCTTCTTTAAGACATTTGGGGAAGCGTGATGATGTAGTGCTTTTGAAGTCCTAAACAGTTTAAGACGTTTGCCGGGCTGAACGCAACGGATATGCAAGGCAAGTATTTTTATCTAGGAAATTTCCTAGAAACTTTAAAGCTGCATTATTTCAGGAGGAAACAATTTTTTATTTTTTCCTAAACGCCTTCCTTTTTTAAGAAGATTCTTATCCTTTTTATAATTTCTAAAAATTATTTGGTGTTATATTAAAAGAGCTATTATCTTCAGCAGAATATGCTACGTTTATTGGCTTAGAAAACTGCACACTTTTGAAGCCCATAGGATACAGGCTTAAGTACGATTTGTGGATGCAAGAGTTTAGAGGTTATTAACATCTTAAACAGAGCGTAGTTTATGAAGATTGCATAGAATGAAAGGTATAGTAACTTTTCTACGTGCAACATAGTTCAGTTGGTTGCTTAGTTCTGAAGTTTGCAAGTGCAATTTTGGGTGGTAGGGATGATTAATTCATAGTACTCGCTGTTTAAAGTATCATTAACATTTCTTCAGCAGTATTTTAAATTTGTTTTATGGCATTAACCATATACTCAAGCAAGCCGTGATGTTATTACCTTTACTTTTAGCTGAATTACCTGTAGTAAAATAGTTTTCAGCAACAAAGATTAGTTACAACTCTTTCAAAAGTGAGCAACCTGCTTACCCCTGAGGACTACTACAGCGTCTCTCCTAGTTTAACTCGGAAATCATAAGTAGCTAACGACAAATTCAAAGCAGAAATTCACATCGCAAAGGTTTGAATATTCACGAAAAAAAAGTTTCAGCAGAAGGAACTTCTAAGTGTTTTAGTAAAACTGACCTCGACCACACCCTTGCTCTAGGACAGATTTATATCTGCCTCTAAAGAAAAATTAAGAAGTAAAATTCATTTTATTGTAGACTGAAAGTAAAATGCGAAGGAAAAAAAGAATGTCAAAAAAGTTTGAGCTCAATTTTACGCAAACTTCATTTATCAGTAAAAATACGTATATGCTTCACACTTACCTTGTGAGAATCCCATCAGGAAAATAAAGTATATTAGGAAAAACCGACTGAGATCTCTCGAGAGAATAGTGTATATCATTAATACAAAAGGTCCAATGAATTTCAAAGCCCTGTAATAGCAATCTTTTTCGGTTTACAATTAAGAAAACCAGGACATCTCAAAAAATTTGAAGAGGCACTGAGCATTATGAACGTTGTAATTTTATGGAGTTCTATCTAGGTTCTGACTTATTGTTACTATCCTAGTGTTTTTTAACATACATAATGAAATCGCGAGAACTTCCGGTCTTATAAGGAAGTTTTTGAAGCCTCCTCTGATATCGTAGATTTTAAGTATTGTTTCACAACCTTAAACAGGGTAAATGCTAAACGTTCAATATTTTACCTAGCGTAGAACAGGAAGTGTGCCCCGGTGAAAAGAACTGCAATTAACGAGAGGATATTGTCAAACAACAAAAATACTGGACTCAAACCGCAGCTGAAGCGTACTGGAATGATCAGTAATACGATGATAAATGAAGATTTATAGACGATCTTTGCAGGAAATGCTTTCTGAAAATCTTCTTGCCTTGACTTTTCTTTGAAAATCTTTAACTTTTCAAATTTTCTCTACTACTGGAAGCAACGTTGATTAGCACTCAGTCAAAACAACTTTTTCTTTCAAAAATGTAATTGTTCCTTTTTCATTTATTCTATAACTAATGAAACTAAAATGACGGTGTAATCAAACTTTTAAGCTCGGGCTTTAAAAAACATTGTTGAACTGAAGTCAAATCAGTCAACGAACCAAAACTTGCCACCATCGTTTTTTGCCTATGCTTCTGATATCTGCTATTTCAAAAACCATTTGACTTGCTGCCAGCAGTACTACCAGCGGTTCAGTGATCAAGCGGACCTTCAAGAAATTAATGCTTCAATTAGCCCTTGCTTTATGCTTTTTATCTCGTTGATACCACTTTTGAAAACCATTTGGTGACATAAAAAAATGGCGAAGAAAACTGCTTTATTTTAGAGGGATATACGAATTAAAGTAACAGACGTATTGTTGCCACCCTCGTCCAATATACCATAGAAGATGACATGTTGTCTTCGACCTCCAGTACTCAACTAAATGAATGCTAATAACCATAATTTTATTGTTAACTGCCTGATTTATTCCCGAATGGTGTACGGGGCTCTTGATTCTGTTGGTTGGGTGTAAACAACTACTACTAATAAAGAGAAAGTGTAAATTGTTGTTATGAAATTTCAAAAAAAAAAAAATTAGGTAAGAAATTCAAAAATTTTGTAAGACGCTTCTACAATTGAACGAGACAGTCAGTACAAGTTCGTACCAACTGATTCATCGTCGTATCCTGGCATTAATGTGCTTGTAATAAAAATATTGGACATAATAGGCTTGCCAGTAAGAGGGTCAAAACACGGGTATTTGTAAGTACCATTACAAACCAGTGAATTGTTCCAACCAGAAATATGATCTTCAGTGATTACCTAAATTATTAAAAGTTTAATCAAAATTGTGACCTTGAGAAAAAGGGAAACTTCTGTTTGTGAAAAGACGTAGTTTAATATTTGATGTTCTAACCGATTTAGTACTGAGTAGTTTTCACAAGTTTAGGTTTATCGAGGCAGCTAGATTAAAAACGTTTCAGACGAATGCTGTTTAAAAGTTTTGAAAGAAAAGTTCCTACAGTAATCAGAAAACTTCAAATCTAGAAACCATATCTCTGTTATTTTCCAAAGACTGTTCATTCGGACTTCTTTAGTCAAAGTAAAAAATATAATTTTTAAAATATTTCTTAATGAATTAAAACAATTCAAATTGGTTTAGCAGGGAAATGCAGCCTTTTCTTCATAAAAAGTCATACTATATTGAATGTTTTATTCACTCTTAACAGTATACACTTGTGTCTTATTTTACTGTTTACTTCTTGAAATTGTACTTTTTAGTGTTTGTAGAAGTAATCTGAGGTATCTATATAAACAACTGTAGCTGCATTTTACACGGCTCATTTAATAACAGTATAAAATTGAGTACCTGAGTGGTCATGGAAAAGGGTCGACACATAAATGACGTAAAAACCAATACGTAATACATCAGAAAAGAGCAAAATGAAATTGTCAGCCTGAAAACTTAGGAAGACAAAATTGTAGTTGCACTTTAAAAGTTTATTAAATTTTCAAAATCACGATAACAGTTCTAAATTTATTTAACAAAACCTTTTATGCAACAAAAAGCTGAGCGAAAGCTACTAACTAATTTTTAAATAAAATAAAATTTTAAGGAAAGGAGAGGAGCCGTACAAATAAGTTTAGCCTTTGAAAAATTTTTTAATAATTATCAAGGTACAAAAGCACCTCTTTCTTCCAAACGCTTCCCATTTTGCTTGCAGTAAATCTTCTAATAAACCATCAAGTAAGTCTAAATGTTGTGTAGTCCCCTAAAATGCATGTACACCAGACATTTATAAAAGAAAATTTTAATTTTTTTTTTTTTTGTATTTATTTTGAATACACCTGCAACTTACACCGTAAACAATTAACGACAAAGCACTATCTTCATTAAGTTCGCCAGTTTTTTGATTGATTGTGTCAATATTCGCAAGCGGATATGCGTGACTACTGGCATCTCCGTAAAGCCAAACTACATCTGATTCCAACTTTAAGATTTCTTCAAACATCTAAAATGTTGTTTTTATCTTAATTAAAGCAAAGATAACTTCTAGCTTCTGCAAAGAACAGAGAGTGAAACAACACACTTGTTGAACGATTTTAAAATATTGAATTATTTTTTCTTCCTCGTTTTTAACGGTTCTAAATTCATAACTATCAAAAAAATATTTACTAATTCAAATTAGGCGCTTCCAAAACCTGTAATTTACAGTGAAGCATTACATCGAAAGGAAAATCTAGAATTATTTGTTAATTTTTTTGTGGTGATTCTTTGTCATCCTCAAAGTTACTACTCGAAACCATTAACGTTATATTTTTGTCAGAATTTATACTACTCATTCCGCAACTTCGCAATTTTATATTTCTGTTACAACGTCAATTGTGCCTTGTAAACACTTCAAAATAGTTCTTAGACAACTATTTAAATCAGTTTCTGTACATTAGAGTTAAAATAATGATGTCTTTATTGCGCATAAACGGTAATTAATAAAAACTTTAAAACTTTAACGGGAAAATTTTAACGCCTAAAAACCAGAAAAGTTTCAAAAAATAGTTAAATTGCATGAAGTCTTGTAGACTGTCAGCAAAATAGCAGAAAAAATTTAATATTTTTTTATTACAAAAATTAAAACCATTCAATTATTTTTATTTAAAATATACTAAAAATTTTCCAGAAAAAAAGCCATCAAAAATTTTTTTTGAACAGATCTGAAAGTGAATAGTCACCGTGTATGTTTTCATAGACAAACTTAATGAGTTTTTTCATTGTATAAGATAACGATATTTTTTAGCGATTTTTAGAGTCAACCATTTGAAAGCAATACTGCATTTAAAAAAAGTACCTTTTTTTTTGCTAAACAGGCAGCAAGAGTTAATGGAGTCAAATTTTGGTTGTTCATAATATGTAATTTTCCTCCTGTATTGTATGCCAGTCTAAGCATTTCCTTGAAAAAGATAAAAATTTGTTTATCCAGGCCTTCCAATTTATAAATTTTTTAAAAATCTTAAAATTCCAAATAACCGGTTTTTCGTGAATCACTGCTAAGTGAAGAACGGTATTTCCATTTGTGTCTTTGGCATTTGGATCCGCCTTCTTGCTGATCAAAAGACGATAGCAGTCAACTTGATTTATACAAACCGCAAACGATAACGGATATTCCCCAAAATACATTCTTCTAAAATTAAAATAATGCTGTTTTTTTCTGCTTCAAATTAAAAATCTTCAATACTGAGGAATAACTGTTCTGGTTTTCTACAACTGTTTTAACATAAAATGCGCCGCAGGAAACCGTACAATACTCTCTACCCTTCAGCATAACAGCATCAAGGTTTCAGGTCTGATCTTCAAAAAGAAAAATAAAATTTAACACTGTATACCCAACATATGAAGTCTTAGGGCTTAATTCAACGTATTCGTGTTCCAATGAATCAGTACGACTGCTAACTTGATCCTCTGGACAAAATCTGGCTCCAAAGCAACGCTCGTGCACATCTGCACCATTTTGTAAAAGAAAATTTACCATTTGAGGGTCCTCATTAATAACAGCCTGATGAAGAGGTGTTAGACCTAAATTTTACTAAGTGAAAACATCAATGTTGAATTTTATGTGATTAACAAGAAAAGAAAATGCATAAATGGAGAAAAGCAGATGATACAATTCGGTTCAGAAACAAACCATAATAATCTTCGCTAACGAAAATATCCTGAACCAGAAGTGGGAATTTTTGCATCAGTCGTTTAGCCAAACTATTATGAGCCTTGGTGCCTTGCAGTAAGCAAACACCGACCAGTGTTTCTCCCATAGATCCACGTTCTTCTAATTTCCACGCAATATTGCGATAGTTACCTCCTTTGCCGCCTTTCCCACCGCCATCCAACAGTTTCAAGGCTATAACAGGTGTAAATCCAATACAAAAAATGATTCTTTTTTATATGGCAATTTTTTTAATATGACATGTAACTTAAACTGACCTACCATGGCAAATCTGACTATGAGATTTCACTTTCTGGTGTGCATAAGATAGCAAAAAAAAGCAGTTTTAAAGCAACAAAAAGCATATGAACAAATGGTTAGAAATGTTAGGAAGCTTTGCATTATTTTGAACTGTTGATAAATTGTTTATTTCCATTTTTGAAGCATTTTTCTAGCTCTATTTTTGGTGGCATTTCGTTTACCAAGATAACCTTCAGACGTTTTGCTGTTTTCAATAAAAAACACTTTCAAGAGTCGTTTTATTACCCTTGTAAAATGGCAATCTAAAAAGGATTGTTACCACCTATCAAAATCTCTATTAAAATATTTGATTTATCAATAAATTATGATTGAGCAAGTGGTATTGAAAATTTTCTGGCAACTTTGGTGGGATTATGTTTAATTTTTGACTAGATTACGCAATTTTTTTACCAACGTTTATAGAAACTTGTCTGATTATCAGAATCTTTTAACTGTTACTTTATAAAAACCACAGGTTAACTGTTACCTTTGTTAATATCTCCCTGATTGGCGCCCTCTTGATTAAAATCTGCGAGGATATTTGGACCACTTTTTCCTTTACCCTTTTTTCGATTAATTACGCTTAGTCTTTCATTCCTTTCTTTGTTTCTAATTTTGATAAGTTCTGATTTAGCCATGTATTGACCCTTACCCGAATTGTACATCAGGTCTTTTACCTTGAAATAGTGTGCCATTCAAAGCAAACCATTGAAAGTACCAGAAAATAGCTGAACAAAATTAAGGTTAAAATTTGTAAAATTGTTTTTTTATTGCCATCGAATCATCTGTCAACTGTTTACAATAAATTATTTATCGTCTAGAGACCTTCTTTTTCCAAGATATTTGCTAAAACTGCAGTTAACCTTTCCACATTCAGCTTCACTTTATAGACATAATTTGTCCAATGCTTGTATAACTAGTAATTTCTACATTCTAAATGCCATGCCTTGGTGTCGATAAGAACATCAAGGTTCGAGTATTCATCAGTAGATTCTGCAAACCGCATCCATGGAATCAATTCACCGTCACCGTGTAAGCCGACTAGTTTGTAAATAGCTTTTGACACATCTTCATCTTTTTGTTTTTTAACGCCCTCAGCATCGTTGTTTGCCGACTCACGATTTCCCATGTTTTAAACAGACCTTTTAAAATTACTAATTACAACGATTTCTTGAACTTCTCAACGCTCATATGCACAGTCATTATAACAGACATAATTTAATCTGTTAAAACAATATTTATTTTTAATACTTAATTTAAGCTCCAACAATTTTCGACTTCAATAACAACAAACCTTTCAAGTAGTCTGGTATCGGATATAACTTCAAAACTCATAAGTCTTGATCTAAACAGTTTTTTATCAATCTGGTTCAGTTTCAAAAAAACACTTTTGTCAATATTTTTTGTAAAAACATTGCTTAAATTACTCTAACTGAATAACTTTCAAACCTTTACCTGTTTTAGACAAAAATACAAAAACCATCTAAGATTCAATTTGTTGAAAAAATTCCTGCCAAAAAAGGCTTATTGTTTTACTCTTATTTGTTGCCTGTTAATGACTCCAGGAAAAAAAAAACTTTCTTAAAATTTCAATCATGTTCATAAAAAATAAGACCAGACTTTAAAAGAAATTCACCCCTACAGAAACAGCTCGTTATGCAAAACAAGAAGTAGTGCACTAACTGGGTTAAACAGTACAGAAATTGAGAAAACTTTAGACGTAAATCGTCAGCTGAATAAAGGTAAAAGTAGAAGAATAAAGGCAGCTAAACGAGCAACTTAACACCAATAAATAATCTAATGACTTAAGAAGGTTGCATGTTCAATTACATAAAGCTTTTTTCGAAAAGCTAATTAAATTTTTAATAGGCAAACCTAATATTCTTAACGTCATATTGATCCCCGGTTGTTACCACCTTTCAACACCACCTACCAAATGCATATTTCAAATCTCTTCAATAAATCGCGCAAATATTTTCAAGCACTTATTTACCATTATTGCAGTGGTTGCCAGGCTTTGCTTCTTCTTATAACGAAACATTTTCTCACCAAAGGTTATGACAATATAAAACTTTCTTAGATTAGTCGATAAAAGCATCAAACCAACACCATTCCCATTTGGTTCTCAGCAACATATTCTACAAGCATGCGTTTGAAGTCTGTTTCCCTTTCCTGTTTCCCTCTTTTTCTGTTTTCAGTACGGCTTGTAATTTTTTACCCCAGCCAGCAGTAAAACAAAATGAGACAACAGTCATAAGGTCAACTCAAGCACATAGCTACACTATTATAAGTTTTAGCCTGCTATATGCACAATAAAGTACCACTGAGAAATTTAGTTATGCAAAAGTTGAAACGCCTAAAGTACCAATAATTTTAAATTTTCATAAGATGCACTCCTCAGAGTTTTTAATATTTGAAAAGATCTCAATAATAAAAGTGTTAAAGTGCTGAGTAAAATTTTTTATTAATAAAAAAAGTAGCAATAAAGTTTTATCATCACCTTCAGCGCTTCCTGTTTATCATTTTCAGATTCCTTCTTCAATAATTTGCAGCTAAACAGATTGTAATTAAGTTTTACTCAACTTCAAGTTAATGGTTTGACAAATCAAATTGTAATAAATTTTCTTTCTTCAAAAAAGAAATAATGTCTATAGAGTTTTAAATTCAGTCATCTGTTTTTTTTTTTTTTT